TTCCATCCCAGCTCATACGTTCCAAGGCCGCCATTGCCCGGCTGAGAGCCTACAAACCGCCGCCGTTTCCGCTCTGGGATCGCCTCCCAGTCAGCCGCCGTGCAGCCGTGTTGATGCTCCTGTACGCCGACCGACGAGGCGACCTGCGTGTTGTTATCACCATGCGCGCCGCCAGCCTGCGCAGTTTCTCGGGTGCGAGCCTCCCCTGCTGCTATCCTCTACCGCTTAACTAACCCTCGCTCAGGACATGCCGCCCTTCCGGGAGGCAAAGCCGACACTCTAGACGAATCACCATGTATGTCTTCCCCTTGCCCCTATCTAATCAACCCACCCCTAACCCCAACTTAGACCAAATTGCCCGCCGCGAAGCCTGGGAAAGAGATCGGCCTCCCGCTCGACGACAACAAGCTTCCCGCGCCCTTCCGCATCGAACACCTCTGCTACCTGCCCATGAACCTCGCGCGCACCGAGCTGGTCGTCCGCCCCTGCGTGGCCCTACTCCACACAGGCGACACCACCACCACCACAACAACAACAACCCCTCCTGCTCGCCCATCCCCCACAGTCGAGGGATCCCTCATCCCGCGCCTCGACGCCCAAGGAAGTAGCAGCGGTCTTCTCGGCCCCCTTCCACAACTTCCTGCGCGAGACCGACGAGGAGGTCCCCGCACCAACACCGACACCACCACCACCATCATCATCATCATCATCCCTATCATCACCAACAGCAACAATAGCCACGGCAGGAAACAACCAGCACCCGAAACACCGCCCGCCGGCCACCGGCCGCCGCTTGCCACCGGGGGAACTGGTTACGAGGGCAGCTGACGCCGTGGCACGACTCGCAGTGGCGCATTCACTTCTTCTACGTCCCGTCACCGACCAGACGTGGGTCAAGCCGCGCGTGCGCGAGGGCGGGCTGGCGGCGCTGTCGAAGGGTGAGGGGGATGGGGAGGGTGATGAGCAGCATGGTCCCTGGTGGTGGTGATGGTGGTGGTGCTGGTGGTGGGGTGGGGGGTGGAGATGGAAAGAAGAAGAAGAAAGGAGGCGAGCTAGAGCGGTACAAGGTGTGGGGCATGACGGCGCGCATGCTGGTGGACGCGGCGACGGTGGCGTATGATGAGAAGCCCGAGTTTGAGCATAACCGGCACTTTGGGGATGAGGGCATCATTGAGACGCTGGCGCGCATGGGCCGGATGGGGGAGAAGAAGAGGGCGGGGAGTGTGGTGTCGGCGGAGGACTGGAAGAGGGCGAGGGAGGCGGAGAAGGAGGCGAAGAGGAGGGAGGAGGAGGAGAAGGAGAAGGGTGAACCGAGTAAAATGTAGATTCGGTCGGTCGGTCGGTTTGACTTGGGAAAGTAGAATAGAATATACGTGCATGATAGATATACGTGTGGGTGAGTGTAGACTAGGTGGAAATGGGAATCCCTCTGCGGGGCTGCCGGTGCCTCCCTTCCCCATCTCTTCGCGGACAGACAGACAAAAGTGACATGTCGACTGACACTCTTCAATGGCATGCCGTCTCCATGGTGAGGGGGGTCTGCCCGCCAAACAGGAGGTAGCCCAGCCCGGCGCCCACCGAGACCGCGATCATCACCCACCCGTTGTAGGTCATGAAGATGAGCCTGCGCCACCCGGTCAGTCCTTGTACCCCATGCTATTGTATTGAATCAAAAAAGGAGGCCACTTACATGATCATGAAGGGA